CGCTCTTCGGCGCGCAGGTCCCGCTCGAGCACCTGCACCTCGTCTCGCAAGAGACGCCCGCGGCGGCGGTCGCTGCGCTGGTCGCCGCGCTGCGCGCGCCCGCGCCCGCGGATGCGCGCGCGGCGCTCGAGGCCGCTCTCGCGCAAAACTACAGCCACAAGAACCTCTTCGAACGCACGCTGCTACACGTCGCCGCGCTCCGCGACCTGGCCGACGCGCCGAAGGCGCAGCTGCTGCTCGAGGCACTGCTCGCACTGCCGCCCTCCGCCCACATGAATTCAGTATCTATGTACGCCTTCCTGCACGCGCTGGGCGCGGGACTGCGCGCCGCGGCGCCTACAGCATGCGCTGCACCAGCACATTGATCAAGTCCTCGTGGTCGCCCCACGTGCCCTTGCGGAACTCCGCGAAGCCGTGGCGCTTGCACGCAAAGCCGCCGCGCGGCGCGTGCAGCTTGAACGTCCACAACGCTTTGTTCACTTCCTTGAAGTGCGGCCCGCACGTGTACAGCGTGTGCACGATGTCTTCCACGCCGCGCACGTCGAAGCGGCCTAGCCGCTCTTCGATCTGCGCGTTGTCGCAGATCGCCACGCGGCTGTACGCGCCGGCCGGGCCCAGCCGCAGATAGCCGCGCTTGTAGACCAGCGCGCGGACCGTCGCGAGATTCGGCGCGCCGAACGCGACGAACGGCTCGATGAACTTCAGCATCTGCCGCGTAGCTGTGTTCACCTTCAGAAAGACGGCGTTGTGCAGCTGCAGCAGGCGGAACAGCTGGAACACTTTGCGCACGCGCGGGCAGAGCTTGTTGACGCCCTTCAGCCGCACGACGAGCAGCACCTGCGGCTCGGCGGGGCGGAAAAACGTCGTGGGCCCGCACTGCGCACGCGCAGCTGCCTCCGCGGCGGCGCGCTGCGCGTACTCAGCCTCGTACTCCTCGAAGCGCCGCAGCATCAGCTGAGTGCGCTCGGCGGCGGCGCGCTCGCGAGTCGCGAGCGCAGCCTCTTTCTGCGCCAGCAGCTCGCGCTCGAGCGCGGCGCGGCGCTGCTGCGCGGGCGTGGTCGGCACGAAGTTGCGCGTCTCGGCGCTCACCATGAAAACGTCCTGCCTGCGCGCGGCGGCTACTTACTGCCATGAGCCTGGGAGTTCGGAGAAACCGTAATTAAATAAAAACGTAACAAGCCATATATTTAATTCTGCGAATTTGCCGAGCCATGGAGTACATCAAGCAGTCGGAGAAGGACGAGTTCATTCTGAAAGCCATTGAGGCGGAGGTAGGTGCGCCGCGTGCGAAAGCAGGCTCACGTGGGCGCGAACACCGCGAGCAACAAGATGACGCCGTACGTGTTCTCGCGCACGCACGGCGGCGTGCACATCATTGACATCGGGAAGACGTTCGACAAGATCCACCTGGCGGCGCGCATCTTCGCGGCGGTCAAGAACCCGAGCAACGTGTGCGTGGTCGGAGGGCAGGAGTACGCGGCGCGCGCCGTAATGCGCTTCTGCCAGCTGACCGGCGCGGTCGCAGCTCCGACGCACTGGGTGCCCGGCACGCTGACGAACCAGATCACGCGGCAGTTCATGGAGCCGCGGCTGCTGATCGTGTGCGACCCGAAGATGGATGCGCAGGCGGTGCGCGAGTGCGCGTACAGCAACATCACTGTGGTGGCGTTCTGCAACACGAACGACAGCCTGAGCTACGTAGACGTGGCGATCCCGCTGAACCACACGAGCCAAAAGGCACTCGCGCTGGGGCTCTGGGCGCTCGCGCGCGAGATCATCCGCGTGAGCGGCTCGCTGCTGCGCAACGAGAACTGGGACGTGCAGCCGAGCAGCTTCTACGCGCGCCAGGCGGAGACGGTGAAGGAGCAGGAAGACGGCGTGTTCGTGTCGGACGACGAGGCGCCCGAAGAGCCGGGCGCGCCGCTCGAGCAGGAGCAGTGGGTCGGCACCTCGACCTGGCAAAACTAGCGAGCGCGCGTCGCGAGCGCGACGGCTGTGATTTCGTTCCGCGTGCTTCCTATGTATAATGTTTCTTCGTGCACGAGCGCGCAACTGGGCGCGTGCGGCAGGTGCGCGTTGCCCTCCGCCGCGAGCGGCGCGGCGAAGCCGACCGTGAGCAGACACGCGCGCAAATCCGGCGAAAGCACCAGCACCGCGCC